AGTGTATATTCTCCCAGTGATCGGCGCTCGAAAATGTCATGCGCCCTAAACCCTAAACGTTTTTTGAACCCAGACTCTGCCAATCAGCTAAACCCTAAACCCTAAACCCTAAATGTCATGCATCCAGGTTTAGGCTTCGGTCTTCGGGGCCGAGTGCAAGTCGATGATTGGGTGCTGCTTCTTCATTGGAACTGAACTCCAGGGGTTTAGGGTTTAGAGTTTTGGGGTTTAGGGTTTAGGGTTTGGGGTTTAGAGTTTTGGGGTTTAGGGTTTAGGGTTTAGAGTTTTGGTGTTTTGGGTTTAGGGTTCCAGGAGGAATGTGCACATCACCCCACAAGGATCTCGCACACAGGGCACCCCTTCAGCCGCCAGTGTCGAAGCCCTCTGTAGGACACCCCAGAGGGGTGTCCATAGGATTAAGGATCGGGGATCGGACTACGGGGGATTCCTTGAAACTCATGCAAATATTATAGTCGGAGTACTCAAGCCGCTGTATAAAAGGCCCTGGAACTCAGCATGGGCTCAACCAGAAGAACCCAAAGAGCTCGAGAAGACCAATGTCACACAACTTCATCAAATTTGTGGAAGCCTGTGCTTAGTTGTACACAAATAATACACATCTTAAACTGACAGCTATTTAAAAACTTCTTGATTGGATTTTAGGTCTGCCGGTACGTCCCTTACTTACAAGGCATTGGCCGCCCTGGGTGTAGAACCGAACAAGGCAGCAATTGAAGCTAAGTTGGATGTTCCGAGTTTAGGGCCGATGAAGTCGGGCATACCCCCGAACAACCTACGCAAATGGGATCTTGTTCTGCATGAGGGTTTTAGGTGGTTTAAGGTCTCATCTTTTTTCCCTGCATGATCATGTTTCCCTCTTTGGCAGCATTGAAAGCGACTCGGGCACAAGAAATGTTCTGGCCCAACCGCAGCACGGCGCAAAGTGCATGCCGGACCCAGTGAAACCAGAATATGTGCCAGCATGCAGATATTGACAACCAAAGAAAACTGAAACGTGCAATTCCTTCCAGGCGCAACTGATCGAAATACCGTCAGGAGCCCCTTGATTCCTTCGGTCCGTGTATATTCGACGGACGGATCAGGCGGAAGTTTCTTAAAGCAAAATGCCTCCAATGTCAGTGAACCCCAAGAAGACACCTCGCAATCAGCATCGGTGCCCTCCCATACCCTATAAACCCTCAGTTTCAGAAAAAGCTTTCAGAAACTCCTCAATCAGCACAAAACAGCATTATCAGGAGCCCTCATCTTTCGACAGCCAGCGTGCAGCTTCTCCGGCCAAGGCAATGTCCAAGTCCGACGTTGCCTAAGTTTGCCCGCTGCTTGTGTGTAGAATGTATACTGCAGGGCTCAAAAGTTTAGCGACTTCGTAAAGCCTCTGAACAATGTGTGTGCTTGTTGCCCCGCACAAGGTGAATCAGCACGAAGAACGCCGGGTAGATGGTCTATGGCCTGCCAAGTTGCAGACCAAGGAGGAGGCCAGGATGGCGGCACAAGGCCTTCATCGTGCATGCTTGTCGAATCCTGCAATGTCCGCGCAGTTTCGACGGCACAAACTCTGCCTTCACCCAAACCTTTTCCCGAAAAGCTTCAAACCTCGAGCAATCTAAGGTCTCATCTTCGGAGCTGTAACCCTAAACCCTGAGCCCGCTTAGTCTTGGCGACGAGGGCCTAGAGGTCCCCTGAAAGGTCGAATTTTCGAGGCATCCCTCCAGATGCGAGGCTTTGGGCATCAGTGGCTTTTTCTTTTTTGACGGAAACTTTTTTTCTTAGGGATTATAAGGCCTCTTAACCGACGACTTAGTGCTTGCGGCATCTTTCTGTTCGGGCTTTTAAAATTAGTCTGATGCTCTCATGCGGCTCAGGGGCTGAGACGCCTCCGACGTGTACCTCTGCTGTCGGGGAGGGTCGGGTAGGATTGCAGTGGTGAGGCGGGACGTTCAGGATGTAATGAGGGTATCTAAGCTGAGCTTCTTGGAAGAGCTGCGGAACCGCCCTGAAGCCGAAACCCTAAACCCCCCCTGAAGTTTGCCATTAAGCCCGGTAGGGTTATTGGCACCCAACGTTAAGAAAGTCTCGTCCATCACCCCTGGACCAGGATGCGCAGCTTCCCCAATCAACACGGACGAGTGGCGCACGCCCCTGCATGAAGCACGTACCATCAAGCCGAAACCAAGGGCAACAGAAGCAAAGCACCGAAAACCCTGATGCCCCCCCCCTCGCCTCGGACCTTCTACCCTTGACCAGAGTCCCTCTCCTGCCCAGGCTGCCAAAAGCTTCGAATCCCATTACAATAGACGTCATAAGGTGTAGAACAAGGCAGCCCAAACTCAGTATTTGCCATGACAACATGCACAACATGCAAGAATGCTACTACAAGGACAGTCCTAGCCAATTTAACTAAAACGTCATTTTTCGGGCTTGGCGGGCTGTGGGTCTTAAACGGTGGTAGTTTGATTTGCATGCTGCAGACTATGGGTAGAGACGCATTCGACCACCCGGCACCCCAGTTTCCGAGCCGCAAATTGCTTGAACCCTGTAATTTCAAGCCAACCAGTTAGCTGCTATTAGCTGGTACAGTAAAACGACTGGGTCTTGCCTGTGCCCATCTTGTGCGTTTTGATTGACATTTTCGTATCGTCTCACTCAAGGTCACACAATTGGATGTCTGAGTGGCCTTAAATCGATAGCTGCTTCAGGAGTAGGGGCTCCCAAGAGAATAGCACGCTGGAAGTTCCAACTGCGGTCCTTTTGGCAAGCATCCTAAAAGTATCACGGAAAAAAGGGCGGAAAGGGCCAGTTACCCTGCTACAGTATTACGTCTAATCCGAGCGGCTGCAATGTTCCGGACATCCGGCATGTTCGGCCGCGACTGCTGCCCTGCCGTAGAAGCGAGCCTGAATCCCCTAAAAAAAGCGCGCAGCTAGGCGGCTGGGATGGTTTGCAGGGTTATACTCTACTATATTGTAACAGACTATATTATATGATACTATAGAATACACGATATCATCTTGTATCATTATATAACCGCCGCCGTCAGCTGAAACTAAGTTTTGCCTTGCTGGAAGGCCGCATCCAAACCCGTCTCACCCCCTGTAGCACGCAGCACCCAAGTCGTAAAGTCAGAGACTCCAATGTTATCCACTGCTTAAAGCGTGAAGGGTCATAGCACTAAGCTCTAAGCTTTCCGAAATTCTATGCTCTAAACCCCTGAATCCGAAACACCAACTTCCACACTCTGAACCCCTGAATCCGACGGCCCTACTAAACCCTAAACCCTCAACCCTAAACCCTAAAGGCCCTAAACCCTAAACCCTAAAGCCCCTAAACCCTAAAGGCCCTACTAAAGGCTCTGCGAGGCGCACATGTGGCGCCATGTAGGGGAGCAGGCTTGGGTTTCGGATGCGCCGCAGTCGGGGCCCACACCACTTCTTCCTGACTAGGTGGGTTATTTTTCCTTCAGGGTTTAGGGTTTAGGGTTAAGGGTTTTTAGGGTTTAGGGTTATAGGGTTTAGGGTTTATAGGGGGTGGGTTTACGGTTCAGGGTTTTGGGGTTTAGGGTTGCAGGTTTTGATGGATGGTGGAGGTACTTCTGCTGACGACTGCCGCTTGTCACTGTGGTCCATCTGAGCACATTCCTGTCCGAATGCATCAGGCATTAACCATGCATGTTGCAGACTGCTGCTCGTGACTGGATCCACTTGATTTGACGCATGTTGAGTCTTCCCCAGCCTGGAAATCAAATTTTTGGCAAACATTCCGAATCCCTCACCTTCCCAAAACCTGAACCATGGCCACCGACATACCCAGATTCAGGTCAGATTCCTGGGCAACTACCTTTGAGCCGAGGCTTTCGCATGCCTTGCTGTTGGGATTGTGGGTATCTGGAGACTTGCAACGTCTTGACAACCAGAGATGCGAAAACGTCGCCAGGGATCAAAAACTTTGACCATGTTCATGTTGCCAAATTGCCCCACAAAGTAGTCATAGTGGTTTGTAGTGGTTAAAAGCTGTTGCACCGTGGGCAGTTAAAACGTTTCTGTGTACATGGCTGCTGCATTATACACGCTAATGAGATTTGTTTCTCCTTGCGCTTTCCACCTGTTGACAACTTTTTTGGGCTCTTACCTTCTCATGAAGACATTCAAAAATCTCATATTATGAACGTAGGAAGCCTTTTCCCTGCTCAGCAATAAAGGGGCTCTTATACTTGTTCCTTATAAAGCGACAGCTGTTCTACTTCTGAGCATGAAGTATTTGGTCTCAAGATCGGACTACGCACTGTTTTTTACCTTCTACGTACACGCAAGCTCAACACAGGGCTAGTTATGTTTCGTTTGCATTGCAGCATGGTATTCACTTGAACTCAACTGAGTCAGTCGCTCCTGGTTTTCTGATCGACATGACAAACTCACAGTCAGAGATCAGATCAGACGTGGCCGAAACATAGATGAAGCTTTTTCTTTGTTATGATGTTCCGAAGACATAGAGGGGTGATCTCATCTGTATCGAGAAATGGCGGCTGTGGTTTCTTACAATAGTAGCAGTAACCCCAACGTCTTTTAATGACCCAGAAGTTGTTCTTCTTCTTATCAAGAGAAGAACAGCTGATGCCACTGATAAGATCGTGAAGTTGTCCGGACTTCCCTCAAGGCAGAAAGGGATCTAGAGGTGCCTGCATGTCCTAGCCGTATATCTTGTTTAAAGACAGCTAAAGGCAGATCTTGTCTTTTTCGCTAGTGGGCATGAAGGCAGCCTTTGTTCTGTCTCGCTGTGGGCGAGAACTTTGCTCATTACTCTCTGATATTGAAGTGAAGAACATAGGTTCTGGTGCACTGCAAACAGCAAGAAGGTGGCGCAAGATTGTGGCTTTCAGGCTTTGTACAATGGATAAGGGAGTTATGCAGGTTGGCGATATAAACTTGAGGCGTTCAGGCTTCGAGGTAACCGCCGTGGCCTACCTGAATCCTTGCAAAGCCGTTCTAGGACTCACGGTACGTATCAAGTCCGGAATAAGTACCGGAAAGGAAGACACCTGGGATAGAGGAAGGAAGCTGCATGGGATCAACAGAGCGAAAACGCCTGAACATGCGGAACCCTAGACACCAGAACGCCCAAGTGGTGCCAAGGCTCACGTTGGCTTGAAGACCCTGCACATCTGCGTGAGACACGCTGATCAACATTGGAGCGCAGCCAACAACCCTGAATTCGCCTTGTCAGGGGTTCCACTTACACACGAAACAAGAACAGTTGCAACAAAACAGGGCGAATGATAGCTGTTGAAACAGTTTCAGCATGTGGACAAAACACCGTAGCTCGGAGTGGCAATCAGTTGCAGCACCATCTAATGTCGCAGCAAAACTTGCTGTGCTACGGCTGCTGTAGCCGACAATGGTAATCATGCTCACTGTCAGTTTATGGAAACATCTCATCTATTCTTGCGCCGGGATTTCTGAACCTTGCGTAGACGATGACTGCATATACGACTCTCTGTGTGAAGCTTAATCTGCTTGAAATCACCCCGCTGCCAGGATCCAGAGAACTTCTAATATGGGGTCTACATCGACCCGCTCAGATTCGGTTCCTTCATGTACATAATCAACAAGCTACTGAGCAGGTCACAAGTAACTTGTAGGTGCCCTTATTGGCCTAGGAGCCCGGACCTCTGCGGCCTATCTCCTAACCTCATCACCAAACTCATGAGGGAGCCCTGCATGGCCCTACCGACTACAGCCACTAAACTCTCTGAGATGCGATTCTGCCAGGCACGTTGAAACTTCAGAGCATTCGTTGGCGTGACGAAGTTCACCTCTGCTGTCTCATACATTTCACGTCTTTCCCTGGGGCTCCAAGTATACAAATAGTACCTACTTCGGGGGTCTAAAGTCTGTCAGTTGTACCTACTTTGGGCTATTTGGAGCCCCAGGGTTTGGTATGAAGCCGGAGTCTCTGGCCTATCATAGGAGGAACTCAGTTTCTCATCGTTGCGGCTCAAGTCACGAAAGCATAGCCCCGGTTCTCAGCACTCTCAAAGTGTCGAGGCAGGTAGCAAAAATCGAAGGCGTGCATAAAACCAGAGGCGTTCAACTCCGCCACGAGGTCCGCCTGCGACAGATGCTTCGGCACGTTCCGAAGCATCATCGTGGTCACATCACTGCGAGCTCCAGTCGAAGCCGGTGCCGATTTGTTCGAGTGACTCTTCTGAGAATCGAGATCTGACAACAGCTCCAAATCCTCCGCCCCAGCTCCTGTTCGACTAGTGGGCGGATCTGTGGCCAAAGCTCCATCAGACAGACGAAGAACAGGAGGCATGGACTGGGGCCAAACGGCTCGCTCCAGACGGAGCTCCACTGCTTCAGCGGCATCCGGCTTCCTTTGCCCTGTGTCTTCGTCCATCACCGGGCTGGTGGACAATGCAGTCTCTGACAAACGGAGGACAGCCGGCGCCGCTGAACGTTGTGGCAGAAGAGCGCTCTCGAGCCTTAACCTGGCAACAGATTCTAGAAACAAGTTGAAAGCTGTGCTGGCGACGACAAGAAATTTTTCCAAAACTAACTAACCCTTAAGACCTTCAGTACGTATACCTAGACCCTCCAGCTGGGAGCCAGTCACTCTACTGTCGGTGTGATCGACTCCGCGTGCTTGGAGCTGGTGCCCTGAAGGGCGGAGGTCGCCAGGTAAGTTTACCTACTTTCAATTTTAGTTTTAATACTATTATTCTTATAGTTAGTAGTGGTAGTATTAGCAGTACTAGTATTAGTCAGTATTAGTGTTAGGATCTGTATTAGTATTCAGATTAATATTAATATTGGTTGTATTCTTCTTCTTAATGATATTTTTGATAGTGTTAGTGTTCGTGTTTGTGTTCGTGCTCCTAGTGTCAGTAAAGTGCTAGTGTAGGTGCTATTATTTTTTGGTAGTAGTAGTAGTAGTAGTAGCAGTAGCAGTAGCAGTAGCAGTAGCAGTAGTAGTAGTAGTAGTAGTCGTCGTCGTAGCCGTATTAGTATACAGCATTAGTATAAATATGCTTTGCCGTTTTCGTAAGAGGGACTGAGAACCCACCTTTGGGTTTATGTACGGCGTGCCGGTTGAAAACACGCCCAAACGTTACCTCTGCTTGGAAACTGCCAATCTCCTTATACGTTCACGAGGCCGTGTTAAGAGCAACATTTGTGTTCAGGATGTCTCTGTGCTTTCTGTACCGGGTCTCTAGCGTTCTAACAGGGTCTAGCGTTCTATCAAGGTTTGAGATCAGTGGTTTAGGGTTCGGGGTCTACTTATGGATCTGGACTTCGTATTTGGACAACAAATAATTAGGATTGATACTTCAGATTATACTGACACTGTTAAGGACAGGAGTATGTCTGCTTCGGCCTCTGGCCGCAACTTACTCAATCCAACTCGCCTACAAGTGGGGCCTCAGCTTCGGAATTGTGGTTTGAAGGAACTTGAAGGTTTTAGAACCTACAGTTCAGTTTCGCGAGAAATTGTGCCACATCTTGGCCTTTACAATGGAGCCGTTCGACGAACGATTCCTGCGTCATCCGAAATCACGTATAAGGCTTAAGGAAGTCAAGGCACCCAAGGTTGTAGCTACCAGAACGAAAAAGGTGCATATTGCAACATGCATCCTTTCTGCGTGACCAAATACAGCTCAACTTAGTACACCGTCCATAATGCTTCTCCCCTTTGCCTGTCCTGGTGCTGTCACTTCTGCGACTACTGACACTATTTCAACGACTGCTGCTTCTACTGCTATTGCTACTGCTGCTGCTGCTGCTGCTGCTACCGTTACCGCTACCGATACCACTGCTACAGCTACTACTACTACTACTATTATTATTATTATTACTACTACTACTACTACCACTACTACTACTACTGCTGCTACTGCTACTCGTACTACCACTTCTACTTCCACTATTGGTACTAGTACTAGTACTAGTACTAATACTAGTACTAGTACTGGTACTGGTACTACTACTACTACTACTACTACTACTACTACTGTTACTACTCTTGCGGACTTAGGCCCCCGAATCCTACCTCCAACCCCAAAATATTACATCGTGGGAACATGGGCCTGCCAGTGCCGAATGCGCGGGGCCCGCGCCGCAGAAGCAAATCCACTTAGAGCCGACAGGGCTGCATTTTTGCTACCTCCGGTCTGAGGGCTTTTTGGGGTTTAGGGTTCAGATTCCTGAATTTAAAACTTACACTGAATTCCTACAAACCCCAAACCAAGCTGGGGATTCGGATTCGGGGGTTTCTCAGCCTTAGGGTTCGGGGACCTAGGGCTCAAGGACAAGATCTTCCGACACCTCGCAATTCAGGACTGTGTCTTGTGTTTAACTACGGTTTAGGGTTTAGGGTTAAACTTACTTCCCCAGTAAGTCAGGGAAATAAAGGGTTAACCTCTCAGATTACTACTAAATTATAAGAACCCAAAAAGTTTTAAAGGTTGGGTATTGGGGAACTAAGTTAACTGGGTATATATAACATGCTTGCAACACACCCTTGAGACTGCACACTCGCCAATATTCAACAGGAGCCATTCACCACTTCCATCAAATGGTATATGAACCAAGTTTAATGTTAATGAGGGCCGCAGGGCAGTCGGAATGGTCTACCTGTGCGCGACATAGTTTGGCTCTAAGTCGGAACCCCTGCAAGGCCCAAGTATATCCTGCATGGGCGCATCGACCCTTAGGTAAAGTCCGCTGGGCAGTTCAGGGGTGAGTTCAACCCTTGGTCGTATTTGGGGTAGAGAGCTTGGGGTTTAGGGTTTAGGGTTCAGAGATTCGGGTAATGGTAGATCCTTCATCTGCAGTCGAAGGTCTTCGAAGCAGTATCCAGGTAATGAAAACGTCAGCAAAGAACGGTTGTTTAGGCTTCGAATTTGAAGAAGCGCCTGGTCACAACCTCAACGGCTTTAGGATACAGAGTCACATTCGTGTGTGTCAATACTTCCTGTTTTCCCCATTCCACTGTAGCTGAATGAAGCTACAAGCACATACCATCAGGCAAAATCATGACTAAGTTCTGGTTACTTGGTACTCTGTAGGTACCTCGGGTCCTCCCTAAACCCAAGATCCTGATCCGAAAACGCTGACCATGAAGCCCATAACAGCGGTTCTTTTTCTCTGGCATTTCCCTTAACCGACAAATCTAGGCCCGATATCCCCAAGCCCTAAGCGCCATGCCCCACCGGTACCTCCAAAACCCGGCAATCAAGCTCTTTTGCTGCCTGAATGCACTGGTCTCTTCCAGGACTCCATGGGCAGACACACCTCAACTGTAAATCCTACTGCCCTACGATGAAGTGCCAGGACTTTATGGCTTCGAGGTTTGAGGTCCTAGGGTTTTCACGTCTAGGGCTTCTCGCATCTGTGACCCTGATGGTCACTTCAGGTAAATATCCATTCCCGACGTTGCACTCTCAATTCCAGCACTCGTCCCTTAGCCCCAAACCCCAAACCTGAGGGTCCAAGTACCAAAACAACCAATTACCTCCCTAGACCCTCCATCTACCCTCTAGCAGACCCTAAAGACCCAAGATTTGGGACCAAAGACCCCCTATTTGAGGGTGCAAGGAGGGTCCTGGTACCATACTCTCCCAAAAGACAGCCCACAAGACTACTACCCTAAACCCTAAACCCTAAACCCTAAGCCCTAAACCCTAAGCCCTAAACCCTAAGCCCTAAACCCTAAACCCTAAACCCTAAGCCCTAGGCCCTAAACCCTAAACTATCCCGAACCTCGAGGATCTGATCGACCTCACCTACAGTCTCCATTGTACTTCCTTTTTTGGGTGACCTTTCGGGATACTAAATATGTAACTGGTTCAACCACAAAGGAACCGCGATGGAGACGATAGTTGAAGCCCTATAAACCCTAAACCCCCTAACTTTGAAACTCCAAACCACACAATACCCTGAAGCCCAAAAGCCTACAACCGCAAACCCTAGAACCTAAAACCCTAAGACCCTCAGACCCGAAGCACAACAAGTTTTGTGGGCTTTGGAGGCTGACGGGTTCAGGGGTGGCTAAGAGTTCCCTTAAAGTCTCCTTTTGGGTTGCCTTCAAGGATCTTTTTAGGGCTAGATACAGGGGTTCCTTTACGGGGTTATACAAGGCTCGTTTAAATTGCAAGTCTCCTTTAAGAGGTCTACCAGGAGCTCCTTGTATGGTTGGGGATGTAGACTTGGGGGCATAGGGCTTCGGTAGGGGTTGGGGCCTTAGTGAGTTTGGGTTTGGGACTCTTCCCTTGCGAACCATGGTTGCTGGCAGCCGAATGAACAGACAGTTCTTTAACCCCAGTAACCTGCATTTTTGAGGATGTATACAAGGAATTCATAATAAGGCCCCCCTAAAAAAGGTAGGCTTTCTAGGGCTATAAGGTAAGGAATATGCGAACCTTTCCCTGCTCAATCCCTGTTCAAGCAACAGGCACCATGCCGACGTCCCGAGTAGCCTCTCGCACGCTTTGCGTGCAGCGGCACGGGGGGACCCAGGAGGCCAACAACAGAATTGACTCGGCGACGGTTTAGGGCTTAGGGTTTAGGGTTTAGGGCTTAGGGTTAGGGGTTTAGGGTTTAGGGTTAGGGGTTTAGGGTTTAGGGTTGGGGGTTTAGGGTTTAGGGTTCAGGGTTGAGGGTTGATTCGGTCTTAGGATGATGACCCATCGCGATCCGGCGCTTGGGGGCGTGGGTGCGAAGACTGCCTAAAAATTGGAAGCCACCAAGACACTGACAGTTTCAGACGCCAGGGAGCCCTAACAGTAGGACACTGATTACATGTAAAGTTTAAAGACACAACTAACTACCCTAAAACCTAAACCCTGTGGGATCTAAGGCTTAAAGACCCAACCCCCTAAACCCTACAGCCTTAAACCCCAAACAAGCCCCTAAACCCTAAACCCCTAAACCCGAAACGCTTCTTTCGTGTAACTAGAGCTCTTCAGTTCGTTTGTTGTCAATGGATAACCGACTCAAGCCCTGAAAGGAATCCCTCAAGGACCCGCTTAAACGGAAGCCTTCAAGGAACCCCTAAAAGGAAGCATGTCCGTCGGAGTCAATCCCGCTGTTTCGTCTGTACACATGCAGGACACTGGTGCTAATTAAACCCACCTACTGCAGGCATATTAGGGTTTAGGGTTTAGGTATTAAGGTTCTTATTATAATATAGAGTATATTCCTCAATTAAGGGGTTTGGGATTCTCTGGGTATGGGGTCCCGCTACCCATAGGCTCCATTATAGTCACCTACTGCAGGCATATATACTCTGACCTGCAAGACTATACTAGGATCTGA